GTTGCTTCCATGACCTGGCTATTGTAAACAGTGCCGCAATGAACATTGGGGTTGCATGGGTCTTTTTGAATTATGCTTTTCTCTTGGTATATGCCCAGTGGTCGGATTGCTGGATCATATGGTAATTCTATTTTTAGATTTTTAAGGAACATCCATACCGTCCTCCATAGTGGCTGTATCAATTTATATTCCCACCAACAGTGCAAGAGGGTTCACTTTTCTCCACACCCTCTCCAGCATCTGCGGTTTGGAGATTTACTGATGATGCCCATTCTAACTGGTGTGAGGTGATATCTCATTGTAGTTCTGACTTGCATTTCTCTAATGATTAGTGATGTTGAGCATCTTTTCAGGTGCTTCTTGGCCACCTGTATGTCTTCTTTGGAGAAATGTCTATTTAGGTCTTTAGCCCATTTTTGGGTTGGGTTGTTTGTTTCTTTAATATTGAGCTGCATGAGCTGTTTATATATTTTGGAGATTAATCCTCTGTCCGTTGGTTTGTTTACAAATCTTTTCTCCCATTCTGAGGGATGTCTTTTTGTCGTGCTTATGGTTTCCTTTGCTGTGCAACAGCACTGAAGTTTCATTGGGTGCCATTTGTTTATTTTTGTTTTTATTTCCATTACTCTAGGAAGTGGATCAAAAAAGATCTTCCTGTCATTTATGTCAAAGAGTGTTCTTCCTATGATTTCCTCTAAGAGTTTTATAGTGTCCAGTCTCACATTTAGGTCACGAATCAATTTTGAGTTTACTTTTGTGCATGGTGTCACCGAGTGTTCTAATTTCATTCTTTTACATGTAGTTGTCCAGTTTTCCCAGCATCACTTATTGAAGAGACTGTCTTTTCTCCATTGTATATCCTTGCCTCCTTTGTCATAGATTAGTTGACCATAGGTGCGTGGGTTTATCTCTGGGCCTTCTATCTTGTTCCATTGATCTATGTTTCTGTTTTTGTGCCAGTACCATATTGTCCTGATTACTGTAGCTTTGTAGTATAGTCTGAAGTCAGGGATTCTGATTCCTCCAGCTCTGTTTTCTTCCCTCAAGACTGTTTTGGCTATTAGGGGTCCTCTGTGTCTCCATACAAATTTAAAACTTTTTTGTTCTAGTTCTGTAAAAAATGCCATTGGTAATTTGATAGGGATTGCATTGAATCTGTAGATTGCTTTGGGTAGTACAGTCATTTTCACAATATTGATTCTTCCATTCCAAGAACATGGTATATCTCTCCATCTCTTGGTATCATCCTTAATTTCTTTCATCAGTGTCTTATAGTTTTCTGCATACAGGTCTTTTGTCTCCCTAGGTAGGTTTATTCCTAGGTATTTTATTCTTTTTGTTGCAATGGTAAATGGGAGTGTTTCCTTAATTTCTCTTTCAGATTTTTCATCATTAGTGTATAGGAATGCAAGAGATTTCTGTGCATTAATTTTGTATCCTGCAACTTGACCAAATTCATTTATTATCTCTAGTAGTTTTCTGGTGGCATTTTTAGGATTCTCTATGTATAGTATCATGTCATCTGCAAAGAGTGACAGTTTAACTTCTTCTTTTCCAATTTGTATTCTTTTCTTTTTTTTTTTACAGTACGCGGGCCTCTCACTGTTGTGGCCTCTCCCGTTACGGAGCACAGGCTCTGGACGCACAGGTTCAGCAACCATAGCTCACGGGCCCAGCCGCTCCGCAGCATGTGGGGTCTTCCCGGACCAGGGCACAAACCCGCGTCCCCTGCATTGGCAGGGGGACTCTCAGCCACTGCGCCACCAGAGAAGCCGTGTATTCTTTTATTCCTTTTTCTTCTCTGCTTGCCATGGCTAGAACTTCCAAAACTATGTTTAATAATAGTGGTCAGAGTGGACATCCTTGTCTTGTTCCTAGTCTTAGAGGAAATGCTTTCAGTTTTTCACCATTGAGAATGATGTTTGTTGTGGGTTTGTTGTATATGGCCTTTATTATGTTGAGGTAGGTACCCTCTATGCCCACTTTCTGGAGAGTTTTTATGATAAATGTGTGTTGAATTTTGTGAAAACCTTTTTCTGCACCTATTGAGATGATCATATGGTTTTTATTCTTCAATTTGTTAATATGGTATATCACACTGATTGATTTGCATACATTGAAGAATCCTTGTATCCCTGGGATAAATCCCACTTGATCATGGTGTATGATACTTTTAATGTGTTGTTGGATTCTGTTTGCTAGTATTTTGTTGAGGATTTTTGCATCTATATTCATCAGTGATATTGGTCTGTAATTTTCTTCTTTTGTAGTGTCTTTGTGTGGTTTGGTATCAGGGTGATGGTGCCCTCGTAGAATGAGTTTGGGAGTGTTCCTTCCTCTGCAATTTTGTGGAAGAGTTTGAGAAGGGTGGGTGTTACCTCTTCTCTAAATGTTTGATAGAATTCACCTGTGAAGCCATTGGTCCTGGGCTTTTGTTTGTTGAAAGATTTTGAATCACAGTTTCAATTTCATTACTTGTGATTGGTCTGTTCATATTTTCTATTTCTTCGTGGTTCAGTCTTGGAAGATTATACTTTTTTAAGAATTTGTCTGTTTCTTCCAGGTTGTCCATTATATTGGCATAGAGCTGCTTGTAGTAGTCTCTTAGGATGCTTTGTATTTCTGCGGTGTCTGTTATAACTTCTCCTTATTCATTTCTAATTTTATTGAGTTGAGTCCTCTCTCTCTTTTTCTTTATGAGTCCGGCTAATGGTTTATCAATTTTGTTTATCTTCTCAAAGAACCAGCTTTTAGTTTTATTGATCTTTGCTATTGTTTTCTTTGTTTCTATTTCATTTATTTCTGCTCTGATCTTTATGATTTCATTCCTTCTGCTAACTTTGGGTTTTGTTTGTTCTTCTTTCTCTAGCTCCTTTAGGTGTAAGGTTAGATTTTTTTTTGAAATTTTCCTTGTTTCTTGAGGTAGGCTTGTATAGCTATAAACTTCCCTCTTAGAACTACTTTTGCTACATCCCATAGGTCTTGGATCATTGTGTTTTCATTGTCATTTGTCTCTAGGTATTTTCTGATTTCCTATTTGATTTCTTCAGTGATCTCTTGGTTATTTAGTAACGTATTGTTTAGCCTCGATGTGTTTGTGTTTTTTATGTTTTTTTCCCTGTAATTCATTTTTAATCTCATAGCGTTGTGGTCAGAAAAGATGCTTGATATGGTTTCAATTTTCTAAAATTTACTGAGGCTTGATTTGTGACCCGAGATGTGATCTAACCTGGAGAATGTTTCATGAGCACTTGAGAAGAAAGTGTAACCTGCTGTTTTGGGATGGAATGTCCTATAAATATCATTTAAATCTATCAGGTCTATTGTGTCATTTAAAGCTTGTTTCCTTATTTATTTTTATTTTGGATGATCTTTCCATTGGTGTAAGTGAGGTGTTAAAGTCCCCCACTATTATTGTGTTACCATCAATTTCTTCTTTTATAGCTGTTAGCAGTTGCCGTATGTATTGAGGTGCTCCTATGTTGGGTGCATATATATTTATAATTGTTATATCTTCTTCTTGGGTTGATCCCTTGATCATTATGTAGTGTCCTTCCTTGTCTCTTGTAACATTCTTTATTTTAAAATCTATTTTATCTGACATGAGTATAGCTACTCCAGCTTTCTTTTGATTTCCATTTGCATAGAATATCTTTTCCCATCCCCTCAGTTTCAGTCTGTATGTGTCTCTAGGTCTGAAGTGGGTCTCTTGTAGACAGCATATATATGGGTCTTGTTTTTGTATCCATTCAGCGAGCCTGTGTCTTTTGGTTGGAGCATTTACTCCATTCACATTTAAGGTAATTATCGATATGTATGTTCCTATGACCATTTTCTTAATTGTTTTGGGTTTGTTTTTGTAGGTCCTTTTCTTCTCCTGTGTTTCCCACTTAGAGAAGTTCCTTTAGCATTTGTTGTAGAGCTGGTTTGGTGGTGCTGAATTCTCTTAGCTTTTGCTTGTAGTAAAGCTTTTGATTTCTCCTTCAAATCTGAATGAGATCCTTGCTGGGTAGAGTAATCTTGGTTGTAGGTTCTTCCCTTTCATCACTTTAAGTATATCATGACACTCCCTTCTGGCTTGTAGGGTTTCTGCTGAGAAATCAGCTGTTAACCTTATGGTAGTTCCCCTGTATGTTATTTTTCCCTTGCTGCTTTCAGTAATTTTTATTTGTCTTTAATATTTGCAAATTTGATTACTACATGCCTCGGTGTGTTTCTCCTTGGGTTTATCCTGTATGGGACTCGCTGCGCTTCCTGGACTTGGGTGGCTATTTCCTTTCCCATATTAGGGAAGTTTTCTACTATAATCTCTTCAAATATTTTCTCTGGTCCTTTCTCTTTCTCTTCTCCTTCTGGAACCCCTATAATGGGAATGTTGTTGCATTTAATGCTGTCCCAGAGGTCTCTTAGGCTGTCTTCATTTCTTTTCATTCTTTTTTCTTCATTCTGCTCCACAGAAGTGAATTCCATCTTTCTGTCTTCCAGGTCACTTATCCATCCTTCTGCCTCAGTTATTCTGCTACTGATTCCCTCTAGTATAGTTTTCATTTCAGTTATTTTATTGTTCATCTCTGTTTGTTTGTTCTTTAATTTGTCTAGGTCTTTGTTAAACATTTCTTGCATCTTCTCGATCTTTGCCTCCATTCTTTTTCCGAGGTCCTGGACCATCTTCACTATCATTATTCTAAATTCTTTTCCTGGAAGGTTGCCTATCTCCACTTCATTTAGTTGTTTTTCTGGGGTTTTATCTTGTTCCTTCATCTGGTACATAGCCCTCTGCCTTTTCATCTTGTCTATCTTTCTGTGAATGTGGGTTTTGTTCCACAGGCTGCAGGACTGTAGTTCTTCTTGCTTCTGCTGTCTGCCCTCTGGTGGATGAGGCTATCTAAGGGGCTTGTTTATATTTCTATATTTCATTTTTTAATCATTACTGAATTTAGTTAGCCAGTACATATTAGGATTCTTGCACCTTTGTTCACAAGTGAGACTGGGCTGTAATCTATGTTTATTGTACAGCTTTTATTAAGTTTTGAGGTTAGGGTTAAATTGGCTTCATAAAAGGTGGTGGCAATCATATCTTTCTTAAAGGAAGGAAATAATAAAACTGTTACAAATCTGTAAGGTAGAGAATTTTTTAAAGTAGAAATGCTTACCAAAATTACAATTCGTTCTTTAAAAAAGTTAATAAAAATAGAAAAATAACCAGTTGCCCACACATCCCAATCTGCTGAAGAGAACTCCATTGTACACCTAGTGTGCTGGCATAATTATTAAGAGCAGCCCCTTTCATTCTGAAAATATTGCTGTTGGGCAATAAATCATCCATAGGTTGAACCTACAACTGACAAGTGTTTAGGCCACACATTAGCTGTGTTACTGTGGTAAATTCACCTGGCCTCTCTGAGCTTCAGGTTTCCCATCAGCAGAAAGGAAATTGTAAAATTTACCACCCTGGGTGGTTTAAAGAGATAATTGAATAAAGCAAGTAAATGCTTAACTTCTAAACAAAAGTTAGCTCATTCCAGCACCAGCCATTCCCAGCAATCCACAGATTAGAGCAATGATCCCAGCACCCAGATACAACCCAACAGAATTCCAAAGCCATCTTGACTACAGGTAGGAAAGTATGTATGAGGCTATACCACTGTTAAATAATAGACAAAATATATATTGGTCTCTGCCCCCACTTCAGGCCACAGAGCTCCTAAAACCCTTGTGATTTCCGAAGTGATAACAGCACCAAGAACATATTCTTTTCTCATATTTGGTCTTTGACCCCAGTTCCTTACACAGGATTCCTGAACCCTTTGTAATTTCCTGAGTGATATAAACTTTTGTTCTCCTAAGGCAAGTCTGGGTGGGCTCCTGGATGAGGGCTGGTCACCAGAAAAACCAAACCATGATTAGAAGCTTGGAATTTTCAGCCCCTTTCCCAACCACACCCCATTCTCTTGAGGAGGGAGAAGGAATGAGTTAATCATCAGTCATGGCTACGTGATGAAGTCTCCATAAAAACCCCCAAAGTAAGGGGTCTGGAGAGCTTTCAGGTTGGTGAACATATCCATGTTAGTGTACCCCAACTCCATGGGGACAGAAGCTCAGGAGCCTCCAGAATTCTTGCCCCATGTATCTCTTTTACGGGCTGTTCATCTGTATTCTTTATCACATCCTTTAATAAAGTGGTAGACAAACATACATATTTCCTTGAGCTCTGTGAGCTATTCTAGCAAATCACTGACTTTAAGAAGGGGGTTCTTTGGAACCTCCGATTTGTAGCCAAGTTGGAAGGAAGTTGTGGGTAACCTAGGACCTATTACTCAAGATTGGCATCTGAAGTGTGTGTGTGGGTTGGGGGAGGGGGATCTCCTGGGATCTGAGGCTATCTCCAGGTAGACAGTGTCAGAATTGAGTTAAATTATAGGACATCCACCTGGTGTTGCTCATTGTTGGGGAAAATCTCCACACATCTGGTGTCAGAAGTGTTGTTAGTGTGGCAATGTAGAAGTCAAGAAGAAACACAGGAGGAAGACTGGGTATTTTTCCTACACAGGCAACAGTGCCCAGTGCTCCCCCCTCCCCACCCCACCACCACCTGCAACCCTGTTTACTAGGTAACTGGGGATATTCAAGGTTTGATCTATGACCCTGAGTGCAGGCTCCCTGCAATGCTCCATTCTAAAAATCAGGGAAGCCTAAGTCCAAAGATGTCACCTTCAGCTACTCTTCGTCCCCATCTCCAGTCCCACCTCATTCATAAAGCCCTTTAGAGGCCTGGGTTCTTCCTTGCACTTGCCAATCTCCTCTCTACCAATATGTGTCAGGATACAAATACTCACACTGTTCCAATGCATAATCTTATCTGATTTTGTTTTTCTTCTTTTTCTTTGATGCACTAGAAAGTGAAATGCAAATATTTTTCCTCATCTTTGGTGAAGAAAGCCCTCCCTTCCCTGGAGCAAAGAAGAACATGTTTTTCAAGTTACAGATTTAATGAACTTAAAGTGTATGGTGAAGGAGCAAGAGGGAGGAACTTCCACCCATAATAGAGATTACTTGGCAATGGTGGGGAGAAGAGGTCCATAGGTCTAGAAGCAGTAGGAAGCCAGGCTCTGCTCCAAGTCATTACCCCAGGAAGCAGCAAGACTCCAGAAGGAGGTACGTGGTTTACCTAGGGAAGCAGAGGCCTAGGCACTGGGTTTCAGAGCTTTGACAAATATTCTAGTATGCTAAATGTGTCAGGGAAACTGCCAAAAGCTGCCCGACCTGACAGGATTGTGCGGACAGAGACAACGGGCAGACCAGCAGTAACTTGGGTGGGAGAGATGACTCATGAGTGAGAAAGGCCTCCAGAAGCTTGGTGAAATGAGGGAGCACAGTTGAGGCGGCAATGCAAGGCTGCTAGAATAAGTTGTGTACACCTTCCTACCAGCCCAGTGGAGTGGCACCTTGGAGTCAAAACTAGGTTGATTCAGGGATCACAAAGAAATGTGATATTTCTTGCACACCAGAAGGTCTTAGATTCAGACCTGTTACAATATAGTAGATTCCTACTCGGGGTGTAAATCCAGTAGCTGAGGGACTAACCCCAGGAGGAGAGATCTCTGTTGACCATTCCTTGGTCACCCTTCCAGACTCATTTTTGCCACACCAACCATGCCTCAGGCTCTGGCATGACACTGCTCACCAGCCTCAGCATCCATCCTCAGTCCTGCCAGGTGTCCAGGGCAAGCCTTCTGTATCTTCTCTCCCACCTTGTCTTGATGTGGTTTATCTCAAGAAAGACATATTTGTAGGATGGAGAAGTTTCTCTTCCTCAATTTTACTTTCCAAATGTTCACCATCTATCCCCTGGTGACTCTCAAGTCTGTATCTCCAGCCCTGTTCTGACTATAGAATAACAGTTCATATATGTGACATCCCCTCGGTACCCTACCTAGAACTCAAGTTCCAGATGCTAAAACTAGAACTCATTAGCTTGTGCCACTCTGCCCTGAGATGTCCCTATCTCAGTAATTAGAACCACCAACCAGTTGCCTTAATCAGAAACCCAAAGTCACCAACTCTTTTTAAATGTTCTTTATTCTCCATCTTCTCAGGTCCCATTACTTCTGATTTCATTCAGGACTTCATCATCTCCTTCCTGGATTGTTAGCCTCCTAACCCATCAAACTCCAATATACTTTCCACAAAGCCAGATCAATGTTTCCAAAACACAAAGTGACTGTCACTCCCCTTTTTAGCATCCTTCAGTTGTACCTCACTATTCTGCTGTCCCATGTCATACAAACTGCGGACCCTGGCCAAATCCAGCCTGTACCCTCTTTTTGTATAGCCCTCAAGATAAGAATGGATTTCACATTTTTAAGTGTTTTAACCAAAAAAAAAAAAAAAAAAAAAAGCATACCCAACAATTGCCATATATGGCCTACAAAGCCTAACATATTACAATCTAGCCTTTACAGAAAATGTTTACTGCCCGTCTTAAGTTTAAAGGACTCCATTTTGGCCCTCCTCCAACCACTCCCCTCCCCACTCAGGGCCAGGAGTCCCCATCTATCTAAAGGGTGGTCCCACTGAGAGCCTGTGTCCTCCTCCCTTCCAGACAACAGTCCTGGAATTCCCAACCGAAACAGCCTGATCCCACTGCTAGGGCTCACTCTTAGGCCTTAGAAGTGGCCAAAGGCAGATATTTTCAGGGAGATGGGACAAAGCCTGGACATGCAAGCTGGGTTGTTCACACATGTGTGTAAGGAGAATTACAGGAGAGAGGGTAAGATGAGAAGGGGACCAGCCAGGAAACTGTACTTGTGTTTTTGGCCTGGGCCCCACAAGTATAAGGATATTTTAGAATTCCCTAGGTCTGCTCAGGATACTTTTAGAATTCCCTAGCGTGATAAGGAAAACTTTTCATGATGTGGTACCCTGCATTCCACACTCAAGACAAGCATTAACAAGACTGACTCTTAGTGCACCCTGCTGTTTTACCAAGTTCCCATGGACTTGCCTCCCTTTTGCTGTCCATTCTCCTGGTGGAATCCTCTCAATTTCAAGACTCAACTCCAAGGTCAGCTCCTCAATGAAGCTTTTCCTAGTCTCTCTTCCCTCATGTCTCATCATTTCTCATTTAGTTTTTAGGGCCTCAAATGCCCTACACAAATGTCTACCACAGTACTTCTGACACTTTATTCTACCTCATATCTGTCTGTTTCCTTCCTGTAGACTGGACCCTCCTTGAGGACAAAGACTTGGTCTAATTTTTTTCTGTAACCCAATCAGTGTAATGGAGTATCTAATGCATAATACGTACTCAATGATTTTTGAAAGAATGCAGGAATAAGTCAATATATATGATCAGTTTACCTTACCAAATCTTGGGATCCACCCTCAAAGGGCATAGATACTTGTATAATCCTAAGTCACTATGGTCTCCATCCCATTTTTATCCATGGGGAATTAAAATAAAAACTAGGATCCTAAAACTATCTGCAGTTTTCTACATGCACCATATGTTTATGGCCTCTATGACCTTGTTTTGAGGTCTGGTGAAGTCCTCAACACTTAACACTTACCTCAGGTGTCCCCTCTTTCAGAACACCTTCAAGCTGAGTTTTTCTTCCCCATTGGCATACTCTTGTTCCATTGTCTATTTCTCATACCAAACTTTTACATTGTTTATGTCTTTCTCCCCAACAAGATTGAGAGCTCCTTGAAGGCAAGATCTGTCTATGCATTTTTGCATTTCCAGCGCCCAGGGCTACACCTGACACTTAGAAGTTGTTTAATAAATGTGTGTTGACTGATTAATGTTCACACACACAGAGACTTTAGAGACTGTGGAAGTTATCCAGTCCAAAGAAGGAATCCCAGCCACTGTATTCTCTCTGATCAGCCCATCTTTGTTTGAAAACCTCCAGTGACTGCCACGTAAGACTATCCTAACAGAATGTACACCTCACTGGGACAAGAGTTTTTGTGTGTTTTTCACTGGCAAATCCCCAAAACCTAGATCAGTGCCTGGCACATAGTAGATGCTCAACAAATATTTAGTAATGTTTGAATGAATAGTTGAAAAGTTTTTCCTGACACTGAACCCAAATTTGTCTCCTTGTAATTTCCACCCTTTGAACTTGGAATATATGTTTTTCTTCTTCACATGACAAGTTCCACATATTTTTCAGGGAGATCTCATATCTCCCCCACCATGAACCTCCTCTTCTCCAAGCTCAACAATCTCAGTTCCTTCAACTCTTCCTAATCTGTTCCCAGTCCCTTTGCCATCTCCATGCATGCCCTTATCATCAACATCCTTCTGATACTGAAAAAATAATTAAGAGGAGCTGTGAAAGAGAGGGGTATAATGTAATTAAAACCCACAGCCCTAGGCCTAGTATAACAACTTGAACATTAAAGAGTTCAGAGAATCCCTAGGGGTTAACTAGTTTAAGCTCCTCATTTCACAAATGAAGAAACTGAAGTTAAATTACTCATCAGAGCAAGACCTGCTCCTGGTCCAGTAGCTAATCAGGCGTAGACCCATCTCAACCCCAAGATTAATCATCTTATTCTACTTGAATTCTTAGTTGGATGCTAAACTGAAAAAGCTTAGATTTGCAGAATCTAGCTCTCTGCCAAAGACTATTCTCTCTAGAGATGTGATGAAATTATTTTAAAAAGAAGGCCAAGTTTCCTAATTCTATAAGCAATAATTTACACTTGTTGAAGCTGTTTTTCATGAATCACCAGATTCTTGGTAGCCTTTTAAAGAGAGTTAATAAAATGGTTTATAACTTGTTATAAGAGCTATAAAAATCATTTTATTAAGTTCTTATACAGATTCTTTGCATGATACTTAAATTTTTTTAGTTCAAGAACTAACTGAATCTCAATGTACATTATATGACAGAGGCAACCCAGCTGAACCACGAGAGGTCCATGCCACACTTTTTTCTTTTATCCCATATCAGGCAAATGTAGAGGAAATTAAATTAAAACGAATTTTTTGGAACAAGAAGGGATCACCCATCCCACCCTGATTTACCACTTCCTCTTTTCTATTTACCACTTTTTCTTATCCCAGAAAAGAATGAACAAAATTAAGTAAACAAAGTCAAATTTTTAGTAAAGACATTTAAATATTTCAAAGGCATGGGCAGTTACATACCTTTTAAGGAATTCTGTCTTAAAATTGATGGAGTAGAATAATTAACAGAGGGATGGTAAGGGTTGCTTTTAGTAGGTACAACGTCTATTTGCAAATAAGCCAATTTGCAGATAATCCAGTTGAAGAGCTGGTTTTCTAACCCATTTTTCTAAAATGGATCTGCCTATTTGTAATTGGAAACTTCCTGGAAAATGGATAATAAGCACATAAATTTTACTTTCACGTTAAGTACAAACTTTAGTAGTCAACAATTTGCACAAATTATTTTGGAGAGGATTTTCCTCTGTGAACTTCCCCCTCAAAGATTTGTAATTTAAAACAGGAAAATGCACAGTGCAGTCCAGTGTCAGAATTGCATCAGAGTATTACCAGGACAAAGTGGTAGATTTTTATTTTGGGAATTGCAGCTAACTACAATAGGTCTTTTCTTTCCCTGTAATCATCCTCACCTCTGATACTTCCATCTACTTCAGTGGTTTTCAAAGTGTGGTCTGGCTGCATCAGCAACACCTGGGAACTGATTAGAAATGCAAATTATCAAGTCCTACCCCAGACCTACTGAATCAGAAACTCTGGGGGGTGAGGCCCAACATTTTGTGTCTTAACTAGTCTGCCAGGTGATTCTGATGCACGTTAAAGTTTGAGGATTGACACTGTATTGTAATAGCAGTTCACCACATCCTTTCCTGTACGTTTCAAATGCAATGTTCTTACCCTTAGACAGGGCCTTGTCACCTTACAGAGGTGAGAAAGAGAAAAGTAGTCACTGACATCTGGGAGCTGATCTGGCGCTCACGGCTTAGGTCTTGGTGTAGAACATATTCAATTTCACAGAACATCATCAGATCAGGCCACTCTGTGATCAAGACAAAAACAAACCCAGTCCGAAATCACATCTGAACACAGACAAAAACAGGAACATGTCCAAACCACAAAAATAACCAAAATATTTTCCATCCTAGCTAATATAAGCGGCCACTGCCTCTTTGCCAATTAAAGTTTAGGCTCTTTTTATTCCTGCCCCTTTCCAATAAGATTTATAAGATACCCAATCATAGAATTGCCCCCACTTCCTGGCAGCATCCAATCCCAGACAAAGCCCCATCTCTCAATATTACCTGACACAAGCCCAAATCCTAAAATAAGTCCTTTCTAATTACATAAGCCCCCACTTATCTGCAGTTTCACTTTAGTGGTTTCAGTTACCTGTGGTCAACCTCAGTCTAAAAATATTAAATGGAAAATTTCAAAAATAAACAATTCATAAGTTTTAAATTGTGTGTGGTTCTGAGTAGCATAATGAAATCTCACACCGTCTGCTCCATCCCACCCACGATGTGAATCCTTCCTTTGTCCAGCTATCCTGCTCCTTAGTCACTTAGTACCCAACTTAGTTATCAGACCGACTGGTCACGGTATCAGTGTTTGTATTCAAGTTACCCTTACTTAACAGTGGTCCCCAAGTTCAAGAGTAATGATGCTGGCAATTCAGATCTGCCCAAGAGTAGAGGCAAAGTGCTTCCTTTAAGTGAAAAGGTGAAAGTTTTCGACATAAGAAATAGTATGCTGAGGTTGCTAAGATCTACAGTAAGAACAAGTCTTCTATCCATGAAATTGTGAAAAAGGAAAAAGAAATTCATGCCAGTTTTGCTGCTGCACCTCAGACTGAAGAAGTTATAACCACAGTGCATGATAAGTGCTAGTTAAGATGGAAAAGCCATCTTAAATTTGTACAATAAGATATTTTGTGACAGAGACCACATTCACATAACTTTTATTATAGTATATTGTTATAAGTATTCTATTTTATTATTAGTTACTGTTGTTAATCTCTTACTAGGCCTAATTTATAAATTAAACTTTATCATAGGTATGTATGTATTTTTTTTTTAAATGTAGTATGTATATGGTTTAGTACTATCCACAGTTTCAGGCATCCACTGGGAGTCTTGGACCGTATCCCCCGAGGATGGGGGGGATATTACTGTTCTTACTAAGATGTTGCAGGGTGTGTAACTCATCTTGCTACAACAAGTAATAACCACCTTTCTCAGGAAGAGATGTGTTCCTGTGGTCTTTGACTGGACGGCATTGACATAAGAATTATTGCACAACCTCCTAGTCAGTGGGGACCAGTAACCTTCCATGAACAGTTCGTTCCCAGTCCAATGCAAGGTAAAAATTAGGATTTGCTGTTTAGAAACATTGACAACCATTTGAGACAGTAATTTTACGTCTGTTGAATCTAAAAATAGAAGATTGCTTATATTTTGTATACCAGTTGTTTAAATTTTATTTTTCTAGTAATTTGTAATTATATCTTACAAATGATCTGCAATAGATTTAAAAAAGAAAAAAAGAAACTGATACTCCATTACAAATTGTTTGAGAGGCATCGTCCTACAGGACTTTTTTCTTTTCTTTTTCAATGCTGCTATCACATTAATCTTTTGAAAAGTCTGCTTTCAATATATTGTGCTCTTTCTCAAGCATCTCCAACATTACGATCTCCTCTGTTTTCCAGTTGGAGAGGAAACTAACATATTTTGAGTGTCTACCATATGTTATTAATTGTGCACATTTAAATACATCCAATTCCCAGGAAACAATTCTAAATCAATATTAGCATTCTATTTCAAAACCTATTCCACAAAAAGTACAAGGACTTTTATGGGTGATTGTTTTTTAATTCAAGGAACATATATATCGAATGTTATTTAGACAAGAATAAAACAGGACAGGCTTTCCAATTAATTTTTTAGAAGCCATCATAGTAAAACAAACCTGATCAATATAGCATTTGAAAATTCTAGTGCAATGTCATTAGTAAATATTGATGCAAAGGTGCTGTACTACACACTTGTGAGAATTTGTTCTTTACTTAACATTTATCAGGTACTTACTAAATGTTGGCACCATTCATGGTCCCTTTGGCAGCCACATTTGTGCCACTCCCCCTTCTTTTGATAATAGGCTTTGTCATCCTTGGCTACAGAAGCTGGTAAGCGACATAAGAGCCAATCAAAATACCTCACCCTTCTAGCCTCAATGATGGATCCAGTGGTGTGTTCATTACCCATGTAGAAAAAGTCAATTTTCCCCAGAATTGTTCTAACTATAGGTAGCAGGGAAGTTGCCCTTTTTCCTTTGTTGTGAGTCATTAGGACATGGTACAGGTCACCAGTAGCGTATTCCCCAGTACATGGAGAAAAATCTATCCAACATGGGGAAAAAAATAAATTCAAAATGCAGAGAGACATAGAGATAGAACAAGAATGAGAACAAGAGTGCAAAGGAGAGACTCCCAAAACTGTGGGATTCCCTGGGCCAGGTCATCCCTGAAGCCAGCACGTTCTCTTCCCTGTCTCGGGCTTGGTTTCATAAAACAAAAAAATTCCTTTTTGGTTTAAGGTAGTTTGAGTTCCTTTTCTGTCACTTGCAACCCAAAAGCCTTCATTAATACAAACCTTCAATAAGTAGCCTGTGTGGTAGAAAGAGAAAGGGTTAAAGATTGAGACAAATATAGTTTTTCCACTTAATAATTATGTGACTATTAGCCTCTCTGAGCTTCATTTGCCTTGTTTGCTATCTGGGAATAAAAAGAGCCCACTCTTAGAGTCAGACTGTAAGCTTTGGAAGGACAGGAAATATGTCTACCTTTCTTGTTATGTCCCTCTCACATGAGGGTCTCATGACCTGCTTAATGCGGGAAGGGCCAGGGGAAGGTCAGAGAGACCCTCCTGCTTCTGCCATTTTCTCGGACTCCTTCAACTTAAAATATTCAATATACCAAGACGTCATATTTTAGGATAGCGTGTCCTAAACCCTATCACTTGAAAACCAGAGCTTGGTTTGGCAAACGTTCCCACAGTTAAAGCCAATTTGTTGACCTTTTTGTGTTTCTGCTTTCACTTACTTTTTAGCCTCTAAAATTCCTAACTTCCTCATCCATTTATTGTTTTCTAAATGTCCTTTTATCCTTTATCCAGCATTTTTATTGTGAGAGTCAACCAAGATATCTAGACTGCCATTTCGCCAGAAACACAAGTCTCTGACTGGTAGTTTTATTTACTATTCTTACGGACTTCCACTGTTTTCATTCAAAAATCTTTCCTTTATTTAGCGTCTTCTATCTTTATTATTGTAGAATATTTTAATGTCTTAGTCTATATGATTTTCCTTCTCATATTTCATGATTAATTTGTCTAAGTTTTCCCAGGTGTCTTACAATTTTCTAACCTTTGACTAAAGCAAGTAAGTGGTCAGGAGTATGAGCAATTTTCATAAAATAATCAGTAGAGCAGAGTAGTTAAGAGCATGAGTTCTGGACCCAAACTTCCTGTGCTCAAACACTCATTGCCACTTAGCTGGGAGACCTGTATCTTGAACTTCCTCATGTGTAAAATGCAAGTGATAATAATAGTACCCTCCTGTTAGTATTAAAGAGAAAACCACAGGCCCAAAATGGCATCACTTCTGCTAAAGACCATGATGCCAAACATAGATTTAATACCTAACCGAATTGCAGTTTCAACCTTCCCCAGAAATGTAATCTTATTCATCCAGTCTGGAATTTCCTGGTCAGTATCAAGGAGGTAATCTGCCACAGTGGGCCCTCTCCATTCTCCCCCATCCCAGAGGAATAAGAGGCAATCTACATGATAAAACCCTTGCCCTTCTCTCTCCTCCCCCCAAGAAGATATCCTTTCTTTTCTTTTGCTAACAGCTTCCTCATCCCACACTTCTTCCTATAAAAACCTATCATTTAGTACAACCCCTCAGAGTGCCTTTCTGTTTTCTAGACGGGATGCTGCCTGATTCATGAATCATTCATTAAGGCCAATTAGATCTTCAAACTTACTGGGCTGAATCTTTTAACATTAGGGACTGAATTAGTTAATATATGTAATGCTCTTAGAACATAGCTTGCCACATAGTGTTATATTTTTTGTACCATTAAAACTGTAATATGATTAAATTATTAAAATTAGTGTAACTACCTGGCACCTGTCAGTGACAACATTTATAAATTAGTGACTTTTTTTCACATAATCCTAGAGGCCTGTGCTTCATTGGCTCAAAAACCATATAAAAGCCATACCCATACGAGCCTTAGAGAAACAAGACCCAAGTGTTTTATATAAAAGAATTAACACTGAACACTTACTGTGCCAGGCATAACAGTAAGGACTTTCTATGAATTATCTTTTTTTTCTAACGTCACTGTAACACAGGTAGTATTATTCTTCTCATATTACAGTTTAAGGAATGGAAGTTCTGAGAAGCTAAAGTATATGATTGGGCCACCCAACATGGCTGTATCTTGCTTTCTGTACACCCCCTGGTCAACCAGTTCCTGCTTCACCTACACCCTACTCATCTAACTGACTTTCCCTCTTAATTATAGATCCTAATCAGTGAATGCCTACATACTTGCACCTGGTCCCAGCTAGTGATAGTTCAAAACTTTAGATCAAAACATCTCCACTATGATAGCTTATCAAAGGAGCAATGAGGAGAGTGCTCCTCTGCTGGTTTCCCTGGTAACCAGTGAGCCCACCTGACGTCAATTCCCCCTTTGACCGGTAACCTTCTTCTCTCCCCTGAAGCGAAGACTGCTGCCATGTCCTGCCGGCCATCAGCTGCACACGGTAAGGTGTCACTCCAGGACCTTATTTCAGACATGTAAGATCCCCCATCCATTAAACCGCTGATGTCTCTGTTGCTGACTCTGGTCTCTTCCTTCGGTATTGAGGCTGGGCAAGTACAGTGCTTGCAGGCCTGCGGGGTGCAGCCCAGCGTAAGGGGACTTACTTAGGCTTGTGATGGAGGAAGGCCCAGATTCAAAGTCAGGCTGTCAGACCTCACAGTGAGTATGTTTAACCAAGAAGGTGGGCAGCACATCTCTGGAGTCAGCTCACGCTTTCATCCCTTGAATTCATGGGTTTGGTTCCATGTTGCTGTTGTTTTGGCCGCTGGATAGGACATTGAAGACTCCTTTGTCAAATGAATCCTCTCCATTTTACCTAGGAGGAAATTGGGGCTGTAAGTTTGTGACTTGGGCTCCACAATTAGAAGTGGCAGAAATGAGGCCTTCTAACACAACACTCTAACACTTATTCATTTACTTCCTTAATCCTGAAGCCAAAGTTTTATTTATTCACGCCATCTGAATTCACACCACCTGAGTTATTTGATATGTAAATTATAAATGTAACAATAATAAACTTAGGTGAAAACGTTTTGAACTTGCTGGATTTCTATATTAATAAAACAAACAATAAAACAAATAATACAAAACCAAGCAATTTGAGCAAAAGTATCTTCAAAGGAGAAATAGGTTTAACTAGATTGGATTATAATGCCGCCATCATTAGTGCCACACCATCTTTCTAATATGCTAGAGGGTCACGTGAACCACCTGGTTAGCGAGAAAAAAAATGTTTCAAGCCTCAGTAAAACTTCCTCCTTCCACTGAAGCATACTCATCTTCTGTGAACAGATATAGCAAAATACAATAGAAATAAAACTAAGGCTGTCCTGAATGAGAATGGGAATTACCACCTCCCAGACTCAGCTCATCTCACTAGTTCCTTGAGTCTCAGGTACCAGCAGGCCACTTGGCAGCCCCTCTCAGCGAAGTTAGTCCTCATTAACAAGAGTGAAGATCAGGAGATCCTCAAATTGATTCAGGTCTGGACATGCTATCTCTGAGACTGGGATGCTCATGGTGTTCTAGCTAGCTAAGTGTTTAAGGGCTTCACTTATTCCAGCCTGAAACTTCCACAGGGAAGGGAATTTGCCATGTTCATCTTTGTCTCCCCAGCACCTAGCATGGTCCTAATGCTTAGCGGGTGGGCCATACCTGGCTTTGGAATGTTGTAAAGGTTAGACAAATGAAGGAGTCAATGAGTTAACGGATGTGAGTGAGACTGAAGGTCAGGGACAGGATGGTTCGGTTATGGCATCTTCCTTCTGTGGTCACAGACAAGGTCTGTGTGAAAACAGCAGACGATTTAAGTTTCTCTCAAACTCAACATAAACCAGCAGTGAGATGTGGCTGATAAAAAAATTATGATATAACCTTGATATTAACAAGAGTATGATACTCAAAGAAAAGTTAGTAAGGGATTCTTCACTCCTACGGTCACTTCCCAAGCATTCCAAATGCCATGCTCAAATCCAAAGGAAACTGATCTTTCTTTCCAAGATAGACTCTCACCCTTTTGTCCTGTTTCTTCACATGGTTTTCTTCCACCCATAAAAATCCTTTCCATCTCATCTTTCATTTCTCCGTCGTCCTTCTTGGAATACTCTGCTGTTCCACAATCCCAAGCCCCATGCTCCCAACTTATCTCTATATCCTCCAAACTGCTATTACAGTGTTATGGTACTTATCTTTTTTAATCTAATATTTTCACTACTTATGTTCTTGTCTTCTTTATCAGAAGAATCTAAACTGTAAAGCACTGATCAAAGGCAAGGAATTTTCATTTTTATTGTTGTACTTGCCTCCATGTACATTTCACATCCATTAGATTATGATCTTCTAAAGGCCAGTAAGAGACCCATTTATTTTTTTTAATTTCTCTTTAAGTTACACACTGTACCTAGCTAGTTGTTCTGGGCAAAAAACAAATGTTGTTTGTCTGACGGTTGACTGAGGTATAACTACAAGCCACAACAAGAGGAAGCTAACACACTAGCAAGGAACAAGAGCATACATACACTGCAAGCCAGGAGCCAGGTTTTGAAACCTCTCTTAGTATGCAGACATACAGATCTATTTCCCGATTACATACTCTCATGTACATAGATCAAACAAGAGTTAAGCAACTAAGGACAAAAACAGATAGTTCACAGAAAAGGAAATACAAATGGCTAATGAAATAGACAATGATGTGCCATCTTAGTTAATAAAGAGGGAAATGCAAATGGAAAAAAATGAGACACCATCATTTGCCTACCACACTGGCAAAAGGCAGAGACAGATAATGTTCAGTGTCAGCAATGGTGGGAATGTAAATTTTAAAAGGTACTTTACAATACTGATCAAAATTTTTAAAACACACATTCCTTACTAAATAAGCCCACTTCTAAGAATCTACTCTTCAGAATAACTTTTTCCATATTGCCAGGATATTGGCTGAAGAATGTTCCCAGTGCCATTAAATTTATATTAGTAGAAATCAGAGATAACCTAAATATGTCAAAAGTGAGATGTTTAAGTAAATTATATTCATACTCTGATGCTACATAGCCATCACAAAGAATGAACCATATCTATATATGTAGGTATGGGAAAGTGATCACAATATATTGTCCAAAAAAAGCAAGTTGCAAAGCAGTAAATGTATAATTTCTTTTTTGTGGGGAAAAAAGACGTGTTCCATGTTTCTGTGTTCATATAAATACACAAATTTCTACATAACTCTATGTGCGAAAACAAAAATAAAAACAAACATACGGGCTTCCCTGGTGGAGCAGTGGTTGAGAGTCCGCCTGCCGATGCAGGGGACACCGGTTCGTGCCCCGGTCCGGGAAGATCCCACATGCCGCGGAGCGGCTGGGCCCGTGAGCCATGGCCGCTGAGCCTGCGCGTCCGGAGCTCCGCAATGGGAGAGGTCACAACAGTGAGAGGCCCGCGTACCGCAAAAAAAAAAAAAACGAACATACTAACAAAAACAAAGGTCTGGAAAGAAAAACACCCAACTGCTAACTGCAGTTACCCCTAGGGAGGTAAAGCAGGAAGGGCTTTTCCTGTTGTGTATTTCTATGCATTGTTTAAATTTTCTTGCAACATCAAAGTAATACTTTTGACTTTTCTGAAATAAAAAATAAACCTAATTAAAGTAGTTATAAAATGTTTGAAGATTCACAAAAGCAGTGATCAAACTTTCAGGAACTGCGTGCATGAATTATCTCTTTAAGTATTCTTTAGAACTCTATGCTCACAAAATTATTCACACGTATTTGTGTCAGTTACCAAAACCTGAAACCTTATGTGGTAGCATAAAACAGTCATTCCATGTTTTAGAAGAGGTAAGAAAGGAAAAAAGAAATTCCTTTAACACTGTGTACGAAGAATGTCACCTGTTATCAGTAAACAAAGGATGCTGCAGCCATCAAGCCATCAACTGCAGACACCTTCCAAGTGTACACCCTGAGGGAACTCAAGATGGGAAAGAACAGGATACTGGCCCTAAACAGTTAAGGTGCATATCAAAGGAATGATTTTAATAAGCCCAGGCTCTTGCACCTTCCCATACGTAAAGAAGGGCTAAAGTCATTAACTTGAGATGTCTGGTTTTCTTTAATTAACAGTAATCTTTTGATGTTCCAACTACCTGTATATTGCAAAAACTCATATATCCTGGCTACTCCTGTACCTCTTTGGAACAGCTAGCTCCTCAGAGCTATCTAAGAGTGTGTTTCCCAGGCTTAAGTCCTCAGTAAGTCCACCGAATAAAACATAATTTTCAACTTTTAGGTTGTGTATTTTTTGTTTTTTAGTTGACAACACTTTTTTTTAAAGAAATTGACAAACCAAGCAGAGGGCTCTCAGAAATAATTCACCTGATCATTGATTTATGCTAGGGGCCACAAATACAAATGCCAGAGGAGACTGGAAAGTAACAGATTAATGAGGCCAGCTGGGAATAAGACAGCAAGGACCAGAGGGACTATTTGGAGAGTGTGTACTGCTTAAAGGGAGCAGCTACTTCAAAACTCCAGCTAAGTGAGAAGATGGATCTGGTGTTATCAGATCTTTTAATATTTCAAAGGAAATCAGAAACCAGAATTTTTTTTTTTAAAAGATGTTGGGGGTAGGAGTTTATTAATTAATTAATTTTTGCTGTGTTGTGTCTTCGTTTCTGTGTGAGGGCTTTCTCTACTTGTGGCAAGCAGGGACCACTCTTCATCGTGGTGCGCGGGCCTCTCACTATCGCAGCCTCTCTTGTTGCAGAGCACAGGCTCCAGATGCGCAGGCTCAGTAGTTGTGGCTCATGGGCCTAGTTGCTCTGTGGCATGTGGGATCCTCCCAGACCAGGGCTCGAACCTGTGTCCTCTGCATTAGCAGGCAGATTCTCAACCACTGCACCACCAGGGAAGCCATAAACCGGAATTTTTAATAGCAATACACCCAGGTTTTACATTTTAACAACCGATTTCTTAAAATCTTAAATTTCATGTTGGAGGACTTCCCTGGTGGCACAGTGGATAAGACCCTGCACTCCCAAGGCAGGGGGCCTGGTTTCAATCCCTGGTCAGGGAACTAGATCCCATATGCATGCTGCAACTAAGAGTTCACATGCTGCAACTAAGGAGCCCAAGTGCCACAACTAAGACCTGGTGCAACAAAATAAATAAATAAATATTTTAAAAAATAAATAAATAAATGCTACGTTGGTAAACATTGCACAAGCCAAACAAAACACATCTCCTAGCTGGATGTGGCCTGCAGCCTCCCATTTGCCATTTTTGGGTTTCACTGTCTCCACAGAGTTCTAGTGGACTAATTCTGACAGACACATCCTTCATCACCCAGATCAGTTCCCTCTTCTTCCATTAGCACTTTGGCCATGGTATTATAGAACATTAGAGTTCAAACATATTTTTTTAAATCTCATTAAAATATCAATTTTTTATGGTAACAAAATACATATAACATAAAATTTGCCATTTTAGCCATTTTTATGTGTACAGTTTGGTGACCTTAATTACATTCACAATGCTATGCAAATGAAGCAGGAGGGAAGGGGGCAGGGCACAAGCTTTAAAAAAAATGACATAGCCATAGGACATGACAAGGACTGGTTAGAATCAACTCGGTCCAAGATGGCAGAAGATTCGACTTCCAGTAGACCTTGAGCCTCACTATATGCTCATTGTAATACATTAACAAGATAAATGACACACCCACCAGTGCCATGACAATTCTGAGGCCAACCATAAAAGGTCAAAAAGTGAGCGGTGGGAGATTGGGATTGACATATATACACTAATATGTATAAAATAGATAGCT